TATTATTGTTGTTATTATTATTGCTGAATTATTGCACTCTTAAACTGAAGGATTTTATTTTTAGGTCTTCAAAATGTTGCCTTCAGTCAAAAAGGTCAACTTTAAAATCCCAAGATACACCATGGCCACCTTGACACGGTATTATGTTTTAAGTTGTCTTCCAAATACGAACAATTGAGAAATATAATAAAATGTAATAAAGGTTTTGTTTTGGAGCACGGACAATGACTCGTCGTTGAGCAGCCGTCATTAAGAGCATAATAACTATCTAATAGTCCCCAGTAATTATATACAATAGTCCGAGCAGCGTGACGCAAAACTTCAAGGCGCGTGAGGTGCCATTGTGCGCACCTTTTCACCCTAACATGCGTGAAATACCATTGTGCGCACTTTGAGCTCCGGCCTGCACAACAGTTTGCCCCGCACGGCGGCCCCGACAGCCCCTAATAATCTAACTAAACCCCTTCTCATCATCATCGACACCCCCCCTCATCCTCCTCCTCCTCCGCCTCCTCCACCCCATGTGACCACCAGATTGGAGGCGCGCGTCGGTCTCAGACACCGGCAGGTTAGTGAATCCGCTCCCCGCTCCCATGGGGTCCCATCACGGCTGCAAGCTGTCACATATGAGGCGGGGACAACACAGATATAAGGCAACACACACCCACCCTGACTTAGCTGTTTCTTTCTCCTCTGCTGGTGCATGAAAAGGAGCAGTGGTTTGATGCTTTCTCTCACAGTTTTTTTTTTTTTTTTGTCTTCCTCCCTTTATCCTCACAGTGCCGCATGTCCACTGGCTCCACTAATGTTGTAGTAAATAAATCATAAGGTGATTAAACTGACTTCTTCCTCTTTGTGGTCCTCATATGGCCTGTGAAACTTAGAGAGAGGCTTTAATTATTTTGATTTGTTTCCTAAAAGACCCCAAAAATACTAATTTATTTGATTTTAAATTTAACTCTTTATGATACAATCTGCTCTGAGTTTATGTCTTTATTTTCCCCACCTTTTTTATGTACAAAATGTGTGAAATTAAATATGCTTACATCCGTGTTTACAGACAAACTAACCAGCAGGTACCTGAAAAAATAAAATAGAATGCTTATTTATTTTGAGGGAAAAAAACCAACACATAGCCATTGCCATAGCATGCTTCCTTACCAGATTTGGGTAATAGTGATTATTTCACATTATATTGACGATGGCTGCAACTAAAGATTATTTTAGTTATTCATTATTTTGTAGATATTTTTTCAATTGTTACTTGGTCTTTTAAAATGTCAGAAAAGTGAAGAAAAAAGTTAAAAAAAAAAATTGCCCCATGTTTTCAGCAGCCAGGGTGACGTCTTCAGAGTGCTTGCTCTGTCTGGCCAATTATCTAAAACCCAAATACTTCAAAATATTCAGTTTAAAATTATATTTAACGGAGAAGCAAATCCTCACACTGCAGAAACTGATTGACGGCAGTGTGAAACATTTTTGCTTGTTAAATGACACAAATGAGTAGTTGAGTCGTCAGAATTTACTTTAAATAAATCATTGTTTTAGCACCAATATAGACAGAGTTAACGATATAGGCCTCTGGTAGAGTTTATAAATCCTTTAAATCTGAGAAATGTCTTTTTCTGACAGAAGACAGTGGAGCTAGACTGTGTGTCTGTGTGTGTGTGTAGTGTAGTGTAATGATTTGGCTCATGTGAAGTGTCTCTCTGGTCAAGCAATGCTCAATTTTTTGTCTTCTTTTTTTCCAGGAAGTGGTCTGAATTTGAGGGCCAGTGCAACTGTTACCCAGGTGATGAAATATACACACACACACACACACACACACACACACTGATGTTGTTGGGAGGATGTTATCGATCCATGTTAAAGAGAGGAAACAGGAATGTTTCCAGGAAATGGTCAGTGAATGCTGAATTGCTGTCTGTCTCTTCACCTCTCTGTCCATCTGTTTTCATTAGATGGTTAAATAATACTTTTATTATTGATCCACATTAAACATCTTCCACTCACATTTTTACCAAAACAAAGTTGGCACCCTCGGGCCATTTCAGTGGAGTTCAGTTTTTCCCTCTGGCTGGACTGACAGCTGTACAGATTAATTGAAGAATTTAAGACCAATATTGACATCCATATTTATTTCTGATCAGGCCTTTATTCTTTAGAATATTTACTAAAATATTAATAATACAAAGCCTAAAATAAGAGTTACTAGCACCAGGTGGAGTTTCATCATAATAGTCCCTGTCAGTGTTAATAATCTATCTGTGGACATGTGCTTTATTTTGTTTTTATTTTGTCTCTCTGCATTATTGGAGTCCAGTCTATAAGCTTTACTGCTAATAATGCCTGCTGGGCCTCCTCAGCTTCCTGGGTTTTTGTGTGGGGGGGGGGGGGGGAGAGACAAAACATTTTATTTACAGTCTCAATTGAGCAGGTGTGTTAAATATATATCTAGATATGTTTTGTAAAAATGTGTGTCGCCTTTGAATAAACTTTGGCATCTCTGTCGTTTTGGAACATCGAGTAAAGCGTGTCTTTCGAGGGGGATGTATGTAAAAAGATGACTCCTCTCAACAAACAAACAGCATTAAAAAAAGACGGGGGGAAAAAAAAGAAAAAGAAAAGAAAAAGGCTCTTGCTCTGGAGCTGGTGCTGCACCCCGGACCAGTCAGGGATGCAAATGATGCACCTTAACGCCATCAGGTACTGGAGTTGACAGAAAATAATGAGAATCCGCTGAATCTTTTATAAGGTTAACACTCACATTTCCCAGTCAGCTGTCACACAAGAAAGAATTTAGCACATGCATGCGGGCGAAATAAACCTTCATCGTCTCATTAATGCTGACAGGGCCCTGGACCGGCAGCTCCCAGCGCCAGCGCCGCCACCACCTTCGTTTTGTGTCGGTAATTTGCAGTGGAGACAGACCCCCTTCTCCAGGAGAGAAAGAGGAGGAGGAGGAGGAGGAGGAGGAGGAAGAGTTAGAAGAAGAAGGAGGAGGAGGAAGAGTGAATGGCTTACGGGCTGAACTGATGGTCGAAAGGGAAGAAGCATCTTCACTTCACTTTTGCTGTGAGTGTGTGCGCAGCAGGGGAGACGTGCGCTCAGAGTTTACCCCCCTTCCCAGGCATCATCATCCCGGAGCCTGCTTCGTGCTAACCAATGGCAGAGGAAGGAAGGCGGAGAGGAGGAGACGGTGGGGTAGGCTACATGTAGGCCTACTCACTCAAATATGTCTTGTAATACTTGTACCTGTAATGCAGCAGTCAGAACTCTAACACAGGAATACAGTCAGGGAATACTGGCCAAAAATATCCTTCATGTCTCTTCACTGTGACAGAAGCTGAACACTCCAGTCTCCAAACCTGCTGATACATTTCAAGAGGTAGCGAGGCAGTGACTGGCAGTTAACATACATATGTGGTGAGCCTGATTAACGATTATACCCTCACCAACGACTGCAGAGCTACACTGGCCCTTAAGGCTCCTGCCTGCCAAGTACATTTTTAAGAAGTGTTTTTGGCATTCGTGTTCTGTTATACAGTCATAATTAAAAGCTACAAAATATGCAGATTCATTTGGGCCACAGAATGAGCTTAGAACTCTGTCACTGTCAGAAAAATCACAAACGTGTGAATCAGGGGCGGATCTAGAGGGGTGGCTTAGGTGGCAGCTGCCCTTGAAAAAGAAATGTAAATTGATGCATATAATTCTGAATGTAACGATATATTGCAAGAAAGTTAAATTGTTATACAAAGAGAGATGACGAATTAATGGTGATTCTCTTTTTAAACAGCAGAGGGCTACTTTTGACTTTGCTAGTTCGATGTCCCACAACACTCTCATCAGTAGCTGTATCAAAGACCTAAGACACCAGTTTCACGGGTCGGCAAAGCTTCACCGGGGGGTCACAAGGCCTTCTTGATTTTAAGGGGTGTAAGAACATTTTAAAATATACACATTATAACACTAAATTAAAATGTTTGCTTAGATAGTATGTATGATTGTTAAATAAAAAACGCAGACAGATAATTGTATAAAAAGTTCCTAAAACCATCATAAAA